TCGGTTCGTGATCCTTTGCGCTTTTCTAAAAACGTCTTCACTTTGGCAAACTTTTGGATGTGAAATCCAAAATCCCCACACGATCCGTGCCTGGGGAATCGGTGGGATAAATTGTCCAGTTTTTCCCTTCATTTCAGAACTTTGGAGCTGGGCAAACGCTGAATCATCGTTTGTTTCACACAGTTTACTGAACAAGCCGTTGGCTGGGCGTGCATTTGCACAACTAGATTTGTGGGCCGAGTTGCGCGAGCCACCCAGTGATTGCGCAATCATTGTTAACCATGGGCATGCTAACCATGGCTTCGTGCGCAGCGGGAACCCAGCCAGAACCCAGGCCAGGTGGAAAAGGGAAACATTGTAAGGCCATTAAATCCAGAATGTAAGAAGTCGTGTAATCTCCTTGGATCTGGCTGTTGGTTGTGTGAACACAGTTGATAAACCCAAGTCAACCCAACAGGTGTCCGTTTACCTTCGGGTCGAACGCAGCAGCCGTCCCAGCAACTGTTTGCTGTTTTTGCAAATAACACAACGTTCCCCACTGGCCCAGCCTGGGCGTGCATGCGTGCGTCTGCGTGTGTGTTCGAAAGCCTTTGTCATCCGTTTGAATAGACGGACTGATCTTTCTGGAAAGGCGAGTTCCTTTCTTCCTTTCCTTTTTTTTCCCCTCCCTGCCTTTTTAGGCTCCTCACCTGCTCCCAAGGTGTGTGCCTGGCTGCTTTGAGGTGAGTGTTTGGGTCAGCTAACCCCAGGTGTGTGTCTGTGTGCATTTTGTGGGGCCTCCCCAAAAAAAGCAAACCTCTGCGAACAGCCGCGGGGAAGGGGTGGGGAAGATGTGGAAGAATCAGCGAAGCAGAGAGGCGTGCCATTATTTTTCCTTTGTGGCCCCGGTGGATCGTTCTGGAGGCGGCTGGTGGAACATATCCCAGGAGTAAGTCAGCTGGGTGGATAAGAATTAGGTGGCTTTTCCAGTCTTCTGCGTGGGTTTGCGAGTCCTGGTGCCTTTGAAATGATGTTTGTTGCACACTCACACACCTAGGTGCGGTTCTTAGATTCCTCTCTTTCCTAAGGATACAGAGATCTTTGTCATTTTTTTTTTTTAGAAGAGGGAGGGAAGAAGGACATGCGCACTTTAAATGCCCCCTGCCGCTAATGCCACAGTTTTGGGGACATAACCTTGGTTAATTCACTCTTTTCTGGGGAGTTGGGAAACCGAGGCGAGAGATGCCCGTGGCCAGGCTAACTAGGCCTCCAAAGATGGTTAGAATGCAGGTGTGTGGAAGCAACACACTCTTAGCTGCTCCGAAAAGCCACAGTTGGTTGGGTTTGTGCAAGGCGCAAGGCGCAATCAAATAAACCAAGTTAAGGCTTGGATATTGCATCACCTTGATCAGACTCAAGATTCTCTCGTTCAGAAAGGAAGAGGAAAGAGGGACTGCACGACTGAAGCTTTGCAGCGACCCAGCTGTAATAATAATAATTTATTAAATTTATATGCCGCCGGACTCCCAGCGGCTCTGTTCAGCTTTGCCAGTGTGTCTCAACCTTGGCAACCTTTAAGTGAAGCGGCGCTGACATCACCCCGACCTCCACCCCGCCGGGG